CCGGGATCGTCAGAAACACCATATATTTACAACCACTCAGACGCTTCAACAACAATTTGGACACATCAGCAACGAATAATGCACCCTTCGCCAGAACTAGGACACTACAACTTGAACTATAATTTGAACAGATTAACAAAAACTCGTACACATCAATGACACTAGGACACCTCAACGAAAATTTGAACATATCGACAACAATTAGTACACATCAAGAACTCACGAACATTTTCAAAACCTCTCACAACAGCATAACTAGAACACATCAATAATTCGTTTATTAGCTATTTATACGCATTATTTGGTCCATTCAAAACGCAATATTAAAAGAAACCGAACCGATGATTACAATAATTGACCGTAACCGGCCAAGAAAAAAAACCCAGATTTAATCCATCAAAGACGCCGACTAAAGAGAACACCGACTCATCCTTTTCAACATTTTTCCTTTCACTAACGGAAAAAGAGACTGGGCTAAATGGAAATCACACAAGTCTACGTCTGAAGATGGCGAAATGCCGCTTTACGACTAACAGACTGAACCAGCGATAGGCGGTCCAGGATGATCTGAAACGACCAAACTACAAAAACGGAACTGTTATTTTCCCTGATAACCATAGATATCTAGTAGTACATATATCTAGTTATCTCAGATTCATTCATCTATAAAAGTTAGCATTTATGTAACGTGAAAACAGGTAAATAGAATTATCGGTGTCGGTATGATGGGAGAATAATCGTTTAAGTAAACTTTCACACAAACAAAAGAAAATTACTGCCAGTTGACTTTTATAGGATTAATACAGGGATCAGAACGCCTCATTTGTCAATGAAATGTCCTTATTATATATCTTTTGATACTATTACCTTATTCTTCTTTTGTTCTATTGTATTCTATTTGTTTATTTCTGTGCGCTTTACAGGGAGGAAACTTCGACGTGTGATAAATTTTATATAATATTGTCAGTCATTAATGAAAATTCGTAACTGTAACAATTTGGAAGTAAAACTTTGAAAATCGTGCGGGTCCTTAATTTGATGATGAGTGCGTTATTAGATACTGTGGTCGTTAAAAAAAAGGCTCTTCTCCCTTTTCTTTCGCCAGGCAGAACCACTCGAGTTAATGTTGAAGGTTCTCATAAACCATGGATGAAAAATTCACGAACATGCTGGTTTTTAGAGCGAGTGAAGAGGGTCGGTGACCTGCAACATTGATCCACCCCTTGTCTTCCGTTAACCAACCCTTCGGCACATACCACCCTTGTGTTGCCGGAGGTCCTCAGCCCCCTGCGACACGAACTAACGACTATAACATCGACGGTATCCTTAACGGCGATTTTCTTCACCGACTCAACTGTGGCTTTAAATATTTGTTATTTTGACTGATAAACGATCGTGTATTCGCCAGGTCACGATTTAACATCGTGTTTTTAATGAATATTACACCAACTGAGTTAAACAACTTAAATTATGTCAGTTCAAGGATTTGTTTACTCTTTTCTCATATAAAACATAACACTGAACGGGAATTTTTTTAATTTTAATGTACTCCTCTTTAGTTTATATAAAAATAACAATTTAAAAAAAGTTGTTTTCTATAAATGGTATTTTGACTATTTGGCGTTTGTTTTGCAATTAATTAGTGATATTTGTTGCTAATAGTTTAGGAGGAAAAAATTGATTAGTCTAAATTGTGTAGTCAATGTAGATCTCAATTCTTTTGCACCCCAGGATTCACCCTCAAACAGATATAGCTACCTTATACAGAAAAAAAGGGTTTAATTAAACAAATGCCAGAGAATTGCCACTGGCTCACTCAGCATACAGACTTCATGTAGGAAAGGAAAATTGTTGCACTAGGTCATAGATCTTGTTGGTGGTAGATTGCAGGAGACGATTCTTCTGACGAACTCCTTGGGAGGACTTAGCCTTCAAAATCAGACTCAGAATTCAGGTGCTGATTTCACTGCAGAACTGAACTGAGTATTCTGAACTCAACTGATCTTACTGACAGTCTGTGATATGGGCCAGTCTTGACCCTGACTCAGCCAGGAGCGGCTTCAAGTTGTGAGAAATCCTCGTCCCACAAGACTTGAACAAAGCGGCTATTTACAAAGTGTAGATGCTGGCTAGGTCTCAGGGTGCTGTACAGTGTACAATAATATTGATTTATTAAACTTAAGTGTTAAAAATGCAAGCCTTATTCTATGCACAGCTTGTAGAATTTTCACTCTTGATTATAAATAAATTCAAGCGTCCAGGACACCGTGTTTTATTGTAGAAAAATAAATATTACAGATTAGGTTTTCAGAAGTAAAATCAAATAATATGAGTGACTTTAATAATGTAAAATATGAACGCAAACTCTCTTATAAAACACTAGTGCATAGAATCGTATTCTAATTATTGAACACAAACTAAATTTGGTCAGCTGTGCCAACAACTTGAATTATGATAATTCATGGATAATTTTTCTTTAAAAATTTTACCTATGCCTAAGACCTTATACCTAAGGACTATCCTTCCTCTCTCATTAACTTAATTAATTAATTAAGTCGGATTTTTTTATTTGGAATGAGCAATGTTGACAATTTCATTTTAGTTCTTTTTGTGGCTTTGAAGTTTCATCATAAGTCTTCAGTTGATTTAGTTCAACGCATGGTTGATGTCAATGTTTTGCCATGTTGTCTGAAAGGTGATAGATATACTGTTTCATATTATAATATACATAGTTTTTGATTAGTTAAATTTGGAATTGTATAGACCTTATTTCCTCCCTTCTTGTATTGGGTTGTCCGGAAAATAATGCAGGATTTTGGTATTAAACAAAAAAAAAGAAACTAGTTACTTTAAAGCAATGTTCTTTAATCAAAATAATTTCCCATACTCTCAATACATTTCTCCCAACGTGTTGGTAACTTATTAATTCCGTCTGAGTAGAATTCAGAATTTTTAGAATTGATAAAGTCAATAAATGCATTTTCCAGTTCCGTTTGATTTTTGAATATTATGTGTTCTAAGTAGTGGTCCAGGTGTCTAAAAAAATGGTAGTCAGTAGGCGAGAGGTCCGGAGAGTAGGGTGGGTGAGGCAAAGTTTCATAGCCAAGCTCCAATAATTTTTGTGACGTTACACGTGACACATGTGGTCGAGCGTTGTCATGCAACAAAATGGGCCCTTTCCGATTGACCAAAGAGGGCTTCATTACTGCCAATTTCTGATGCATGGTATTAATTTGGTTACAGTATGATTCAGCATTGATGGTTTCGCCAGGATTTAAGAAGCTGTAGTGTATTAAACCAAATGAAGCCCACCATACCGTAACCATTACCTTTTTTTGATGAGTTGGGGGCTTTGGAAAATGTATTGGAGCTTCTCCTTTGTCGAGCCACTGTCCAGAACGTCTAGTGTTATCGTAGAGAATCCACTTTTCGTCACATGTAACAATTCTGGCCAGAAATGGGTCATTTTTGTTTCGACAAAGAAGTGATGCACAAACATCAAAGCGCTGATTTTTTTGGCGATCGTTTAATGAGTGTGGAACCCAATTTTCGAGTTTTTTCACTTTTCCAATCGCCTTGAGGTGGTCAGCGACGGTCGTTTTACTGACTTTGAGTTGCTCTGCACCCACCACTGATCGCAGAACATCATCATTAAGAGAGGAAGGCCTTCCACGACCTTCTTCATCTTCAAGGCTGAAATCTCCCTCCCGAAATTTTTTAAACCACCTTTGCACAGTGCACTCATTAACACAACCCTCGCCCCAGACTTGGTTAATGTTTCTAGCCGTTTGGGCTCCGCTTCGGCCGAGTTTAAACTCGTAAAAGAAAATCGTACGAAATTCTCGCTTTGACATTATAAGGATGACTGAATTATTTCCAAGTAGCGGAATGCTACAGAGGTAAACAAACAATATCATTTGGAAGAGGATTAATAAGTGTTGACATTCATACAAATGAGTAATCCTGTAAACGTAAACAGAATATTTTATATAGATTTTTTTTAATGAAAACTTAAAATCCTGCATTATTTTCCGGACAACCCAATATCTTACTTTAGACGGAAGAAGCAAAGTTATCAAATTTAGCATTTTAGTTCTTTTTGTGGCTTGGAGTTTTGTCAATTCATTAATTGACGTAGTTCAAGGCATGTTTTTCTATATTTTCTGAAAGTTACTAGACATACAAATTATTATACATTAGTTTTTAATAAGTTAAATTTGGAATTTTATGGACTTTATTTCCTCTTTTCTCATATCTTACTTTAGACGGAGGAAGCTAGTTGTCAATTTTAGTGTTTTAGTTCTTTTTGTTACTTAAGTTTTCTAGAATGTCTTCAGTTTATAGAGTTAAAGGTTTGGTTGTTGTTTAGAAAGTTACTGGACTGGTTCAAAGTATTTACATAAAGTTTTCGATTAGTTAAATTTGGAATTTTTGAAACACCACTCATAGAATATTCTTTCATGATATTTCATTATATTCTTTCATTATAAATAATTTAAATTATTTCCAAATATCCTTTAAGAAGTAAAACAAAAGTAATATTCTGTGGTTGTTACATGAATTGTTATGACATTCAATGTATCTTGCATATATTTATTTTAAAAAAAGAGGGAAAAATGTAACGTTCAGATTGCAATTCCATTTAATTATGTCAATTTTGAAATTGCAGAATGACAAATCTCATTCTCTAATCTCTTAGAATCTTTATCTTTCATTTTAAATAATTTAAAATTATTAAAGACATCTATTGTAGAATAATAAATATCCCAAAATACGCTTTTAGAAGGGTTTGTACAAGTACCTTAATTATTGAAAAACAGCCATTTGCTTTATTTTACACTGACAATGAGTGCTAATTCAAATAGAGTCCTTTCCTATCATTCACTTCGGACCAATACTTGCAGATATATCTCCATCCCCTTATGCCGTCCATTTTTGTTTTCTCAAACACTTTTTTAGTTAGTCCCTCAGTTTTAATTGAACAAATTGAATTTTTTCAGTGATGTTGAAGTGGATGCACAGACCCTGTCGTTCAAATCAAATTCCGGTAGTTCATCAAATTCTAGTCTATCAACAAGGTAAGCTATTGTTCAGTTCATTTTCTTTTTAATTTTCTGTTTCTTTTTCTTTCTTTTCTTGTCTTTTTTGTTTAAACACCTCTCATTATATACAATTTTTTTTCTTTAATTTGTTAGTTTACAATACTCTAGTAACTCTTTAACACTTTAATATTAACAAGCACTTCTAGTTTCAACTTTAACTATAGTAAAGTGAGTCATAAGTAGAAAAAAATATAAAAAAATGATTGAAAATAGTTACTCTTCTAATTTCAATTATTAAAGTTTATTTTTATTTTATTTTATTTATTTTTAATTTGCAAAAAAGGTTAGCAAGGATTTTTGTCAATTTTGTCAAATAAGCAATACCATGTTTTTTTAATAAGTAATTGACTGTTTTTATATGAACATTTAATCATTTACAAACATTTATTCATCAATTGTTCGATAAACTCAATAATAATATTCAACATTTTGGACAATTTATTTGTTTAAACCCCTCATTTATTTTTTCATTTTATTTACTTTTTATTTTTCCTTCTCAATTGGCATTTCTGAGCATTTCGTCACGTGGTTGAGGTAAGTTTTGCATGATTTGGTTGCCCTTTTTTTAAAAACAAAAACGCTAATAATTCTTAATTGCGGTTAGTTCACTCAATTCTAATTGTAATGTCTACTTTTCAGGTATTTTTTCATTAAAAAAAGCCTCATGAATAATCACCTTTTTACCACATTCAATACATAACTTCTATCTTTTTCATTTTTTCTTTTCTCTTTGCAGAAAATACTTATCAACCTACTTAGGCATAATTTCTGAATATAACTTTTTCCCTCTCAAATTGAACTTGCAAATTGTTGATTTCATTAGTTCAAATTTTTTTCTTCTTTTGTTTTCCAGAAGCTTGGAAAGCCCAAGTAATTCCCTCGAAGGTGTAGGTGCTAGTCAGCAGCAGCAACAAAATCAACTGCAGCAGTCACAAAACCAACAGCAACCTTGGGACTCAGATTTTGACGACGAGGCAGACCGATCCGACTGGACTACTTCTGTTCCTGAAGAGGTTCATAAGAGTCTCTCTTCAAAGGAGAGGAAACGACAAGAAGTAATCAATGGTAATCTCATCCATTTAGTAGTTTACAACTAAGGGAAAAGTCTTTAAAATTAGAAACTATTGAAATTAAGTTTTTAATATTAATCAAGTATATTGTTAATCAATCGGTTAACTAGTTTCTACTAAATTTTCTCAGAATAATTAGTATTTGTAATAATAGTCACAAATTTTCTTAGTTTTATTAATTTTCATCAAATAGAAAAAACCTAACTGAAATATGATGTAATTGACAAATTGTGAAATATCTCGTTGAGGTGTGTGAGCTGATGTTGTTTTAGTTCAGTCTTGGTCTGACAGACAATGCAACCTACATTATCTAGATTATACGGCTACTTTACATTAGTGCTGTGGCTAATAACTTTAATGCTGACATAGATGATCAGAAATGACCAAAATGATTAGTGTTGGTCTGTCGTCAATGAAGACTTGTTGAACCTGCATTTATTGGTGTTTTTGTTGTTACTCTAACTTTTTTTCAACTTTGGTGCATCTTGAGTAAGGAACTGTTTTAATTTCAGTTACAGAACTGTGCAAACAGTGAGATTGCGCAAAGCCAAAATGCATTTTAGTAACAACAGAACCTGGATGTAGACAGACTGAGTAAGACCCTGTACTGATGCCATAGAAATACAAGTTTATACACATTCAGTGTTTATATATTATTTTTATATGTGGGGGCATGCTATATCAAAGACAAAATCAATGAAGATTTGTCATCATTTTAGTTTATAATAATCAGGGTAATCGGAAATGACTAAACTTTGTAGTAAACAAATTTTGAACATATAAATCCGTAGTGACATATTCAGTGTTAGACTATTGTCTTATCCTAACACTGAAATGCATCAGTAGATCAACACCATAGTGAGGATGATGATGATCAGTTACAATCAAATTACCTTTTCCCCACAGACAACCGCACAGTGAAATCTCGCAATATTCTAAATAACTTGCTTATGTGATAAACTCCCAATTGGACAGTAAATTTTGCCTTTATAACGTCATGTTTCTTAATTCTATAATGACTTTTCAATTTTATGAATAATGCAAATTAATAATTTTCAACATGAATACAGTTACAATGAGGATATTCTCAAAAACAGTTTATCTACAACTCCCTAATATACTCGACCAATATTTTAATTGTAAATATTTTGTGAATGTCATTCATATAACAAGATGATGTAGTGTGGTCCTCACTGACAGACGATGGTGATTAAATATTTTAAATTGGGTACCGTGGCAACCGAGTTTTTTGGGTGTTATTGTCAGCTCCAGAACCTGCAGCCGAGGGTTATATATCCACAGTTGCCCCTGGAATTGACTACTTGATTGAGTTGGGAGGAAGGGTATCGTGAAAGAAAGGGCCAGGGGGACAGTAGGAATTGAACCCATGACCCCGCGGCCTTTAAGCCAAGAGACTCTCACCACTCAACGGTTCCAGTATTTACTAATTAATTATGTCTCTATAGTATATACCACTGTTGCAGGCTAATATAGAAAAAGCCAGTAATTTTTTTTGCAATTCCAATTTAATTGTTTTTATAAAAAGCAATACTGTATATTTTTGTGTGTATTGGTTTGAAAAGATTGGGGCAAATTTAACGTGTATACTTGTAAAACTCTTTTTAAACACCCACCCTATACATTGAGGTCTGGTGTTAATGAATGCAACCCAAAATTAAATATTGGTCATTAGATAACACTTTCCCATTTTCTGTTTTCAGAGCTCTTCTACACTGAGAGATCTCACGTAATGGGACTGAAAGTTCTTGATCGAGTTTTTTATAAACCTATGCAGGAACAACATATTCTCTCTCCTGATCAGCTTCAACTTCTATTCGCCAATTTAGAAGAAATGATCGCTTTTCATTCTCAACTTAATTCAGTTATGAAGGAGAAAAGGAAAGAAAATCCGATAGTTGGTGAAGTTGGACAACTACTCCTAGACCATGTAATTATTTATTAACTGAATGGTTTGATGTATAATTTAAATGTTTTTCTCGTAACTGTTTTAATTAATTTGTTATTGATTTCAGTTTGATGGTGCTGGAGGAGAGTCTTTCAAAAAAGCCGCGGCGATATTCTGCGCGAAGCAGCAGATCGCCCTGGAACAACTCAAAGAAAAACGGAAAAAAGATCCTAAACTCAATACATTTCTGCTGGATGCTGAAATGAATCCTAGATGCAGACGACTACAATTGAAAGACATGTTATCTAAAGGGTGGCTAAGGTATGCAGTGAACAATTCCAGTAAAACAATAAAATAAAATAAAAAAATTTGATTTTATTAAAAGGTTAACTAAGTACCCGCTCTTATTTGAAAACATCGCCAAAAACACGACATCCAACGATGAAGAGCGGGAAAAAGTGAATACAGCGTTTGAAAGGAGTAAGGAAATACTAAACCATGTCGATATGGCTGTGAAAGAAGCTGAAGACCAAAACAGGCTTGCAGAAATTCAAAAAAGGCTAGATAAGTCTGGCTTCGACAAAAATGAAAATGCCTTAGCAGCAGAATTTAAGGTTTGTGTTACTTATTTTTTTCCAAAATGAGCAATGATTAGAATTAAAGTAACATTTTTCTCGTTTTCTACTGAAATCGAAAAATCAATCATTCCAAGTATTTTTTCATTAATTCAAATTAAAGGGGAAAAGTATGAGAATTTGTAATAATTATAAAACCTATAAATTATATTTATGGTCTTTAGTACAGATTTCCAAGCATGCATAGTCTTAAAAATAACTGGCTTTTTCCAGAAAAAAAAAAATTATGATTGATGATGGCTAGCCTGAGAAATTGTTTATGACAATATTATTTAAATTCCTAATTTTCATCTCTTTCAATTTTACTTTTAAGGATTCAACCATTTTTCCTAGGGTTTTAATTTTCTATTATATTTATTTACAGAATCTAGATCTATCAAGGCACAAGTTAGTGTACGAAGGATCGTTGACGTGGAGGATAGCAAACAACAGACAAAAGAGCATCGATCTTCATGTCCTGCTTCTAGATGATATCATAATCCTGTTACAGAAACAAGATGAAAAATATGTGCTCAAATTCTATAATCCATCCCTAAGCCCCATAATCAAAGTGTCCACCGTCCTTGTCAGGCTTAACGCAGTCGGTATGTATTAATTGTACCTATTAGAATTATTTATAAAGTAGGTTGTTCTGGCAGGCTTATAATAAACAACTATAACAACTGCAACAAATAAATAATGAAATTTTTTGTTTATTGGTCCAGTTTAGATGAAAGAATTTTGAAAGGCAATATTAAGTTTTAAGATACGTAATGTTTCTGTAAGATTTTATTTGTTGCTAATGTACCAAGTGATTGTGAGATTTCTTCTTGGGCCTATGATGAAACTGTCGTTTTATTATGTTCTATCATTCTGCTCTTCTTTGTTGTTTTTGCCTGTCAGGCACATTTTGGTTATTTCCTTCTTCAGTAGTTGGTCAGGGATAAAATAAAAATGAGCCAAGATGACTTCCATCCAGATGAAAGTTACATGTGTCTGACAGGCCATAACAGTAAGGATATATTGAATTTTTAGTTTAAGGTTTTGATTAAAAGGACTCTGCATATTTATGGCCTTGTGCACCAATATTGTTCTACTGTGCAATCTCCATTATTATGTAGAGCCATTCGTTAAGCTTTAAGCCACTTACCCGATGCTACGCCATGCGATGCTACCCGTCACAAATCCAAACTCCGATTTTTCACTAGGTTACATTACCCCCGTGCACATCTACCCGGTGATGCTGTGCGATCCCCACTGCCGGGTCGCATTGAGTACAGTCGAAGACAAAAGAACCGGACACTCACATTTTTATTTAAACTACATGTATTATTGTCGCTATATTAATTACAACATACTTATTTTCATATAAACCAAATTAACATTAGTTGTTATTTAAAAAATTAATTTTAACTGTTTCATAGAAAATTAATCAAAACACCGGAATACGAATTTTTGATATAATGAATTTTACTAACAATTTATTATACTCGCTTCGGTGGTACATGTACTAAAATTGGAACAATTTATTACACAGTTTTGCTCATAAAATTGAATTAACATTAATGCGATCCCCACTGTCCAGATTTTCGTCGGGTCGCATCGAGTACAGTCGAAGACAAAAGAACCGGACACTCATATTTTTATTCAAACTACATGTATTATTGTCGTTATATTAATTACAACATACTTATTTTAATACAAACCAAATTAACTGTGATTAAAAATTAATTAGTTTTTATTTAAAAAATTAATTTTAATGGTTTGGTAGAAAATTAATCAAAACACCGGAATACGATTTTTTGATATAATGAATTTAACTAACAATTTATTGTACTCGCTTCGGCGGTACATATACTAAAATTGGAACAATTTATTACACGGTTTTGCTCATAAAATTTAATTAACAATTTATTTCATAGTTTTGCTCGTAAAATTACACCATTTTGTAATGTCGGGTAGCATCAGAACAGGACACTCATATTTTTTGTAGTTTATTTCAAACTAAGTACATGTAATTTTGTCGTTATATTAATTACAACATGTTATTTTAATGTAAACCAAATTAAACGAGATCAAAAATGCATAAGTTTTTATAAACATTGTTTAATTATGATGGTTAGGAGTAACTTTATTTAAAACAATTAAGTTTAACAAACAATTTATTAGATGGTTGTGCTCATAAAATTTAACTAACAATTTATTACAAGGTTTTGCTCAAAATAGTGCATTAAGAACAAAAGATGCGTTGCGATTGTGATTATTGTGATAAACGCTGTGGACTGTACGCGACATGTACTTGCGTCGGATAGATGTGCACACCCCACCAAAACGTGGCAAGGCATCGGGTAGCGTCGCATGGCGTAGTGTCGGGTAAGTGTGTTCCTGGCTTAAGGCTTTTTACCAGATCCCCAAAGCTTTGTGTAGGGCTACTGTGTTCTTTAGACCCATGGTTTTTCCTCTCTCAGGATTAGAATCTCAGCCAGCATTGGCCTTCGCATTGACATTTCTTCTTCTTGGCAATATCTAAACAGGTTGTTTCTCAAGTTGAATAAGCAACTATACCAGTTCAGCATGAGGCTTGTTTCTGCTGGCCCGTTTCTATAATTATACCTCAGACTTTGCAGTGTCCCAGACATAGCAGTCTTACAATCATTCTAGTTTACTAGTTCTAACACAACATAGGTTTAGTTGTTCTAATGTTAATTTCTGCGATGGTCCTTTGATGATATTTTTCATATACCTCTGTCCAAGGATACAATCCTAAGGCCTAGTACGCACTGGGATTCTTTGAGTTGACTCTTTGAATCTCCGGAGAGTATCGGCTGCTTGTAGCCTGAGTCCAGGCTGCCCCAACTCATCGTTGCGTTGAATCTGGTGTGTTGCAGGCTAGCATTTTCGGACTCTTTTGAATCCCATCCGATGTGGGATTCTTTGACTCAATGTTGCGCAACATTTGCCAGTGCGGACGTGAATCGGAACAAGCGCTCTTGTTTCAGTATATTATAATATAATTATATTATATATTGTATATTTTTACCTTTTTATCCACACTTTCATTATTTACCTACAGCAATATATAATTTACAAACTTAAAAATATTTGATTATTTGCTTGCAATTCTTTACTTACCTTGATGTATTTTCTCAAATGATGAATGTTGGCTCTGCACACTTATGGAACGAAATCTGATATTGATTGTTCTGAAATCCTGAAGGTGTACATGAGGCTTGTGTACGAGTCTCCACTTGTTTGGACCGGAGAGTGGCAGCTAATCTGTTGGCCGGAGAAATAGATTCCCAAAAGTTGGTATCTTTCTTGGAAATTTGACCTCCAACTTTCATTAAAATGGTTTTGAAATCGGTCCTCAAAAATTTCTGAACCCTGCGCCATCATTTAATCTCAATGTGTCCAAAAGATTTTTCCCATGCTGATTCCGCCGTGAAATATTTGTCGAACCCACCATCTTTTTAGGCATTTTTTAATGACCTCCGATTGGATTCATTACGTACAATGCAAAAAAGCAATGGAAATTCCTGAGAGAGCTAGTTCCTCCGTCATTTTCCCAGGCATTGATGAATATGAACTGAATCTTGGTCTGGACACGGTTCTTTGTTGCGGAGCAGAGTCGGGGCTGCATCACAACAATGAACGCAGCCCCAACTCTGCCCCGCAACATGAATCGATTCAAACAATCTCAGTGCGTACTAGGCTTAATGAGCCAAGGACTTATTCTTACTCCCTAGTGTGATGTATCTTTGGTTTTGGCAATTCGGTATTCAGTAAAAGAGTTCAGGAATGGTGTCCTCATTGAATTTGGCAATTGGCCTGTTCGGTCCTGTATTTAAACAAGGGTAATTTGCTGTTACTCCCAATGTCTGACAGTGTTTGTAGTGTTAGTACTTGTAATCTACCGATATGTAGTCTGAGTAGTAGGTTATTCTTTTATTGCATAAGATTTGTTTCAACACACAATCACAAATTAGTTGCCAACTAATTCGTGATTTTGTCTGCTTCTCCGAGCATTGACTGATCAAGGATTCTCAATTCCTTTAATTAAACGTTTTATTTCCAAGCTCGGACTCCTATAGCCAAATGGTACCTTCTGTTTGGTTTAACGCTTACAACCATGGTGTTCAGATATTTATCCAAATCATACCCCCATGGTACAATGGTTCAAATTTGATTATGCATATTTTTTGATATTTGAATAATATTGCGTTAATTTGCATATATATATATATTCCAAAATTAAAATTTTTATTAAACTTTTTGCATTGTTCTTATTTCTTTTTATATTTGAAAATTTTTCTTTTGTTTTTTAGACTTGTGTTGTTGAAGGTGGTTTTTACTTTTGTTTAACAACACAGAGTAAAAAATTAAAGAAAAATTTTCAGTTATTTTACTTTATTACATTATTTTATTTATGTAAACAAACTGACAGTAAAATTCCCTTTAAAATATTGGTTACTTATTTAGGACATTTAATTTTCCAGTAGTCGGGTTGTGGAACGAAAAACTGTTCATCCTCTTTCTAATCATTATAATTTATTAATTTTAAATTATCTAATTTATTATTTATATATTCATATTACATTTTGTGTAATTTAAATATTTCTAATATATTTCCTTTCAAAATGAATATTTACTAGAAAAAAGAAAAAAAATATTAAAAGGAAATTATTCAATTATAAGTTGGGTTATATCTCTGATACTCAACTTGTGTATTTTAATACTTTTAGAGCAAATTAGTTATATGTTTTAGTTTTTTTTTTTTTTTAGCGCATATATATTTATGGCATATTTGAGAATTTTTATTTCAAAATTCGGGCTCTAGTTGTAAGAAATTTTCGATTTGTTGAGGGCGAAAGAGTGGAGAAACATCTGCACATCTCTGGCCAATTTTGGTCTGTTTTGACAGTCAAAAACCGGTTAATAATTTGATATTGGAACTCTGCTGTCTGACAGATTGAGTTGGATTTGTTGGAATGCCCAAAGTCAACTGCACATTCGCCAGCCAATTCACTGTTGGTTTGGATAGAACAAACCTATAGTGTTCAGAGTCTCATCCTGAAAGACAGTACCATATTGCCCAAAGCACAGTGAATTCTAGTCCCTTGCTTAATTCCATTGATTCCAGCTTCTGAACCATATTGCATCTTAGAGCTAGCTGTGTACAAGATAAAGTTGGCATCAAATGCGATCCATTTCTCCAAGTCTGCTCTATTGAATTTTTTATCAAATCTGAATTCTAGGATCATGGTGTCAACAGCTATTCCCAGAAACTTGTCTGCCTGAAACTTTGCTCCATTTTATGCAAGTAGGCTATTAGGCTGTCCCTCCAAATTTTTGTTAGTTAATATAGTTAAAAGTTATAGTTAAAAATTGAGTTTTGATTGTTAGATTAGGTTTAAGATTTATTTCTGAAATGTCCATTTGAGTTATTTGCACTGCATTTATTTCTTAGGCCTATTTTGCAGCTCCTTGTTTTAATACTATATTTGTTCTGATTGTTGCTGGTGCAAAAGTTTTAGAGCAATTAATTGTTTTTGACCATTCTGGTCTGTCTGTCCTCACTGTTTTGTTCTGCCAAATTCATTCCACCTTCATCTGGAACAAAGTGTATGCCTTATTTAACCATGTTTATAACAATCACACTGTTGGATATAGTGAAAACCGAAATGTATTTCACATACTAAAGATGTGTGAGGGTAGGAAGACCCAAATGACTGGAAATGACCAGAGAAGAAAATGCAAATCAATCAATTGCCAATAAACCTTTTCTTATTCTGAGCATATCTCCTCCAGCAGAAAGAGGAAATCATGTCTTTCAAATGTCATATAAACACATCTTTTTTGTCTAAATCTAATTTGTAAAGCAATGTCATGTGGTCGAAAAATTTGTCCATAAATGGTTCTTGTTGTTACACAATATTTGATAAATTTCCTGAAAGAGTGAAGATACTCTTTGATTTGTGATATGTACCCTAGTATTATACCCTCTAATCAAAGATGTAATAATAGTTGTATTTTTGTCTTTTTCAAACATCGGGTTGCTTGTTTGGTCGTCTTCAACATTTGTCAATGTTAATGCTGATAGCATCACCCCTTTCACAAATGTACACATAAATAGCCCACCTAAGAAAGCTCACTAACCATTGAATATCCAAACCAGATGAATTGAAATGACCAATTGCGCGTTTATAACATCACAGACCGAAGTGAGAAACCGCCTAATTTATTTCTTTTAGCTTTTCACTTATTATATCACCATAGTCGCCAACAAGCAAAAGACTGTCTCAGAAGGATTTTCTAGTGCCCAAAATAAGCTATATAATATCCACAATTTTTTAACATTGACAATAAATATTAAAGTTCTATTATCCACATTTTTTTTAAACATTGACTCTAAACATTAAACTTGGTATAAGCACTCATAACTAAGAAAACTAGCAAACCATTGAACATCCAGACCAGGATTGTTTGAAGTGGTCAACTACAGTTTTATCACCCTATAGATCTCAGCAAGAAGCCTTACAATTTATTTGTTTTCGCTTTTCAGTTATTAAATCACCATCATCAGAATTGCATGAGTTGCATCATCATCAAACATAAGACTGTCAGAAAGATTGTTTAGCAGCCAGAATAATTTTTCTAATGCAAATCTTACAATTTTAAAAACATACGCATTTTTAATTATTATTATTTTTAATATTTTCATTTGATGATAAATATTAAATTTGGTTAGTCCTTAGTTTGAACAGTCTTGGTCGTTCTGTGATATAATAAAAGCAAGCTCATCTAACAGAATTAGGCTTTAGTTTGATCCTCCAAGTCTGCTTATTCTCACCGATTTCGTCTGCCAGATGTGCTTCTATTTCACCATCTTCAAAGGTGGGTTTGTTTTTGGTCGAAGATGGCGAAATAGGAACTGAAATTTCCCTGACAGACGAAACCGGTGATGATTAGAAGTAAAACTGCACAACTACAGTTCCACCACCCCACAAGTTTTTTTAATTCAACCATCCTTATAGCCTCATTTTTTATTATTCATACTTATAAATGAAATCATTAATTTGGTTAGTGAACTGTGAATTTATTATACATTTTAATACCTTGAATATTGAGAACGGTTACTAAAAATACTCAGATAAATACAATATATTGATGAATAACTACATTTTTGGTATAAATTGTAGCTGGAATTATAGCTTTGTTTGATTGAACAATGAGATTTCAATTTGGATAAAGTAAACTTTTAATTGATTCCCTCTTTTTTTTTCCATTGTTTGCCCTCTGCCTCCCCCTTTCAAAAAAGTGTATTATAGCACAACAATAAATTTTTCCTAATGTTGATTTTTTTATATCTTGAGAATATATAAAAAAAATTCATATTGGTATGCACCCAACCTTTATTATACATTATGTGCATCAATTATATTTTTATCTAAATAATTGGTATTTCTTGTAAACAGATAAGACGGCCCTGTTCCTGGTTAACACGTCTCACAACGGGGCACAAATCTACGATCTTGTAGCCAGTTCCATTTCTGAGAAAAGAAAGTAAGTCATTTTTTGTTTATACATTTAAAGTGTTGCATGTAGCTTCTATTTCTCCCTCTCTATGTTTGATCTCTTATCGTTTGCTTAAACGATTTTTCATGTTATAATTCTAAACCGGAATCCCATTAAGGTTAATACGCAACAAATAGTTAATTTAAGAGAGTTTCTGCTTGAGAAATCGTTGATCAAGCACGTGGAAGGGGCGAGAGTTGCGTGGCTCACGAACAATTGCTATCAATTTAGTTCACATTCACTCTCGTGCTATAAAACGCCTCATTGTGTAAACATTCAAAAAAAAATTTTTTTCTCTTTTCAGTAGAGTAACGATTTTCTCTCAATAACACGTATTGGTACTCCTTTAAAAATGGATTTTTTAAAATTATTTTTAATTATTGTCGAATCGTTCCATTTTCCCGGCAGTATTTCGCATTATTTTGCAAATATCAAGGCTGTTTGAACCAGCATTATCTTCGTAAATAAATACAAGACGAGGCTGTGATGTTTTATCCGACGATCAGTGTTCCGAGATTCCAAGCTCTTAAAAAATAAGTCTGAAAATAATCAAGTAAGTCGGTTGAGTATGTTTTTACCAGCAGTAGCCCAACCCAGTCATACATCATTTTTAGTTACGACAGTCAACATTATCGATGATTATTGTACATCATTTTGTTGAGCTATGCAAGGTAACGAATATGTAGTTTGATCGACGGCCATGGTCCGCTTATTCATGCTGGTTATATATAAAACATAAATAAAAAACAACAAAACCCTACCGAAAAAAATCAATAAACCAACATAAAAACCATGCGATCCAGCATGTACAATTTAATAGTACAAGAACGTACAAATAACCAGAATAAGGACATGTTAACCACCAAAACACGACCGTACGAACAACATGAATATAAAAATAACTATATTAAAACCCTACTACTACCAAAAAACGTACTAACTACCAGTAAAAAGAACGTACTGACGACCAAACAACAGGAATTTAAAACCACCAGAATAAAATGAACTATCAAAACAACAAGAATGTACTAACCATCCAACGATAAGAACGTACTAATTGTCTGAACAAAAAAAATTACTAACCACCAAACAACAAGGACGAAAAACACCTAGAACAACGTACTAACCATCCAACGACAAGAACGTACTAATCAGCAAAACAAAAGAACTTACTAACCACCAAACAACAAGGACGAAAAACACCTAGAACAACGTACTAACCATCCAACGACAAGAACGTACTAATCAGCAAAACAAAAGAACTTACTAACCACCAAACAACAACAACGAAAAATACCCTTAACAACGAACGTACAAACCACCAGAATAAATTAATTATTCAGAAATCGTGAGATGCGGTCTGGTGTGATGTAGGTTTCAGAAAAACATTTTCTTTATCGTGCCAACGTTTCGATCTTTATTGAGAACATCTTCAGAACCTGGGATTTACAAACATTGTTTACATTTAACAAATACATTTAGGATGTGGAAAAGTGAATTTATACAATGCAAAATATATTTTATATATTCAATCAATGTATTTCTACTCACTCAAAGTGTTTGTCTTCTGTGTAATTGTGCCATTGTGAGTAGAAATACATTGATTGATATAAAATATATTTTGCATTGTATAAATTCACTTTTCCACATCCTAATTGTATTTGTTAAATGTAAACAATGTTCGTAAATCCCAGGCTCTGAAGATCATCTCAATAAAGATCGAAACGTTGGCACGATAAAGAAAATGTTTTTCTGAAACCTACATCACACCAGACCGCATCTCACGAATTCTGAATAATTATCGATTAACTGTCACTAATCACCACACACCAGAATAAAATTTACTACCCACCAAACAACCAGAACGAAAAACACCCAGAATAAGAACGTACTAACTAAATCGGAATCTAACTAAACCTAGTTTCTAATTCACCCAGAACAAGAACCTACTAACCATCCATCGACAGGAACATACTAATTACTAGAACAAAAGAACTTACTATCCACCAAACAACAAGAACGTACTAACCAACCGACAAGAACGTCAAATCCTCAAGAACAAAAACGTACTATCTACCTGAAGAAAAGAACTTAGTAAACACCAAACAACAAGAACGTTAAAACCAGCAGAAGAAGAACATTCGAATTACATGTAGAACATAATGAAGTACAAGTAGGGCAAATCAACAAGAACATTGAAACAACCGAACAGCAATTTACAAACTATCAAAACAACAAGAGCGTACAAGACAACATAATAGAAAATTACGCAAAACGACAAATATAAAATAATATTAAATAATTAAATGTTTAAATTTAATTTAAATTTAAATTTAATATTTTTTTTAAAATTAAATATAAGTCAAAATATAAATATATATATTATTAAATTTAAATTTAATTTTTTTTTGTCATGCAACAAAATGGGCCCTTTCCGATTGACCAAAGAGAGCTTCATTACTGCCAATTTCTGATGCATGGTATTAATTTGGTTACAGTATGATTCAGCATTGATGGTTTCGCCAGGATTTAAGAAGCTGTAGTGTATTAAACCAAATGAAGCCCACCATACCGTAACCATTACCTTTTTTTGATGAGTTGGGGGCTTTGGAGCTTCTCCTTTGTCGAGCCACTGTCCAGAACGTCTAGTGTTATCGTAGAGAATCCACTTTTCGTCACATGTAACAATTCTGGCCAGAAATGGGTCATTTTTGTTTCGACAAAGAAGTGATGCACAAACATCAAAGCGCTGATTTTTTGGCGATCGTTTAATGAGTGTGGAACCCAATTTTCGAGTTTTTTCACTTTTCCAATCGCCTTGAGGTGGTCAGCGACGGTCGTTTTACTGACTTTGAGTTGCTCTGCAAGTTCTCGAACAGTTGTTTTGGGGTTTTCTTCCACCACTGATCGCAGAACATCATCATTAAGAGAGGAAGGCCTTCCACGACCTTCTTCATCTTCAAGGCTGAAATCTCCCTCCCGAAATTTTTTAAACCACCTTTGCACAGTGCACTCATTAACACAACCCTCGCCCCAGACTTGGTTAATGTTTCTAGCCGTTTGGGCTCCGCTTCGGCCGAGTTTAAACTCGTAAAAGAAAATCGTACGAAATTCTCGCTTTGACATTATAAGGATGACTGAATTATTTCCAAGTAGCGGAATGCTACAGAGGTAAACAAACAATATCATTTGGAAGAGGATTAATAAGTGTTGACATTCATACAAATGAGTAATCCTGTAAACGTAAACAGAATATTTTATATAGATTTTTTTTAATGAAAACTTAAAATCCTGCATTATTTTCCGGACAACCCAATAGACGGAAGAAAACAAGCTTATTTATCACAAGCAGATATGAAAGTCCGCCGGAAATCTGAAAAATGACTCAGAAATGAACAAAGAACTAAAATTATATTTTCGAAATTCAATCGAAGACTCCCGTAGACATAAACTACAAAATATTCTTCAACAAATAGATCAACAAGCGATATCAAACATATAAAAATGGCAGGCAAATAGATCCTTTAAAAGGTCAAACCTGAGTGTACAGACGGATCAGGATGATTGTAGACCAACAAACATTATTGACTTATACGTTTCGAAGAGGAGGCTTATTCTCCATCCATCAGATCGAGTACTTATCGGTACACAAAGGTCCCTGGGCTTAGGTTTCGCTCTTGGCAAAATCTGAAGGCTTTATTTATAAGACATTCAATCATTCTTGTCATTAACCCGTATTACCATGAGTATTGTTGAAATTTATCGATAACAAGGCAATATGACGTAATAATTTTTTTAATAGTTTATGTTTTACCAAATGTGATATAATTTATCGGTCTAATAATAAATCAGCATGTAAGTGAGTGTGGGTGAGAGAAGGAGGTCAAAATGATAGAGTTCGCTTCTCCCACGCTAAGATGACTTCTTACTTAAACAACACATTAAAAAAAGAAATGAAAAATGCAAATCAGCGAAGATCGGCTGACCATTGTCATCGGAAACTATGATAGTACTTACTTAACTACGATGGTACATGGAATAGTAATTATAGGAGTAATTCTTACAAAGCTGTTATACAAATAAAAATTCAGAAAGCATTATTTTTATTAATTAAAAGTAAAGAAGTTTGAAAATTTACCTAAAATCGAACGTTTGACAATACTTTTTATGTAAGGTTTTTGTTGAAATGAAAAAGCTAGTGCCACGAGCGGGATTCGAACCTACGACCTTCGACTCAATACGCCAACCACTTGAACTATCGTGACTTCGATCCACTCTCCACCAACTCCCCATCTCAACCTACAACCTTTCGAATTTTCCTCCTTTTTGCCATTTTTCAACTTTTTCATTTCAACCAAAACCTTACATAAGAAGATTAATTAATTGAAAGAAGTAATTTGGTCAATAGACCACTAAATATAATGGTTTTACAACACTTTGGACCGTGTCTGAATTACCCCGTGGTGAGCATTTCAATGCCATATCATTGTGGATAGGATGTATAAAATAGAAGTTTTATCTCAGAAAAAAATGCGAATTTGCTGCTGTTAGGATTCTTGTATCTGATTCAGTAATAATTGCTGTTTATTGGCCCCAACAAGTGACTAGGACGATTTCATGAATGTAACGCACGAGCTACTTAATATCATTTGTAATTATAACCATGTTTTATTTGTTTTTCTGAAAGAAAGAAAAACAGGTGTAAAGATTTGTGATAAGTTCTTCAGTAAGTTTTCTTCTTTTGGGTCTAAATTTAAGAATGAAAAACCGTCCAGATTTGATGGATGTTTAGATAATGTGGCGATAAATTGTGAGGCTGCCTCGTTTCAATGTGTGGTTAGGGAAACATCTCTATCTGACCATAGATCTATTCAAATTCAATTTGACTATATGGGTTCTAAGCTTAAGGGCGAATATAAATTAGTTAGGCCGCTTACTGAGGCAGGATTCAATTACTCTAGGCATTGTTTGATGGCTTGGCCATTCGT